AGGCGCCAAAGAACCACTGTATCCCTCCCCATGCAGGTAAGCAGGAGAGGCCAGCACACTACCTAGCAAAGCTATGTTTGTTCTCTGAATAAAATACACTGCACCAGGTATAAGTCTAGTGTAGAGCGCTTTTTTTTCAGAGCAGAAGAGAGACAGATTGTTATGGTCTGAACCAGAGTCATCTTTGTGGTCTGCTTTAGGAGCAGTCCTTTGGTTGGGGCTCCTGGCAAAACCAAAATAGTTCTAAGGATCAGTTCTGCAAGGTCCTGAGCATTCTTTTGATGTCCTGAATTCTCGCCCACTCCCACTACCTCTGATGGACTACCTTAGCACTCCATGAAGGGTCTACTATGTTGCAATATCAAGCCCCTAGCAAGATACACAACTCTGCTGTTTGGTATAATTATGTTCTTATACAATGACAATGTGCACAAGTAAACATTGTGTTCTCCCTTTTTTGTAAATTTTCTCTTTTCTGAACCTTACGGAAGATACGACTTTTTAGTCCATATGTTATTTCAGTTAAAATCTACTGTTTCAGTCATAAAATACATTCTCATGTTCAAAATACCAATTATGTGTTATTTGGCAGAACTAAGTTATTTCCTTTTGTTCCTGTCATAGGTAAGTCAATTTCACTAATGAACTCTGCAGCATTAATCAATCTGCCATCATTTTAAAAGCCTGGCCCTTCATTCTTTTCCCAGACAGAACTCCCATGGGATGTTCTAACTATCAATATTGTACTTGTGGCAAACTTGTTAAATGTGCCAATTTTCTTTTCTAAAATCCAATAAATAAAAACGGGCATTGCAGTTATCTTAATTTCTGCAGATTGGAAGCCTCCTATCCAGCAGTGACTTCCTCAAAAGAAATGAATATCTTTTTTTATAACTCGTTGAAGTAACTTATGCTAATGAAGCCCGGGAAATTCAAATCCCGGGCTTCATTAGCAAGTGCGGTATGCCTACATTACCCCGCTAGTTCGAACTAGCGGGGTAGTGTAGACATACCCACAGGTAGTAAGACTGAATACTGTGTGTTACAAATCCCATTCCTTTGTTTATTGAAACAAAGGAAGATATGTAAGATGGAAAAAATCAAAACCATGCAAATACAAACCAACATCAAAGAAAACATACACTGGCAAATTCCAAAATTTTGAAAGCATTCTTTAAAAACAACAGTGGGGATGATTCACAGTGAATGTACTTCTGTGTATAATAAACAAATACATTATTTTTATCAAGAACAAAGAAATAACCATTTCATTATCACCCAACAGCCTTAATGCTTATTCATAATAAATACCACACTGTCAGGAAACTTGAAAAATAAATGGTATTTGCAGTTTTGAAAAAGAAACAATTCTGTACATACACTTTAATGATCCATATCAATAAGCCTCTAAAGCAAGTCTACCTACTTAGTTTTATCATACATTAACAACATTACATTATTTTCCTGTACACATTACTATGAAGAAAAAACAATTATGGGCTCTGTACCGAATGTTTTACAATTCATTGATAAATATATTAACCAATATTTCTCATTTAAAATATTCAAAGAAAATATTTAGCTACAGAAATCAAGCTAATAAAATACATAAAGTCAAACAATTCATAGATTGGCATTAAAGTTGTTTCATTGTCTGTCACTTGATAATTGTAATGTGTGTAGCTACATGTAGGTTAGTTAAGATTTATTATCTGAACTACTAATTTCTTTGTTTTATTTCAGTTTTCACTATTTAAAATACAGTGCCTATATTTTCACTCTAAGTAGTCTTAACAGGAATTAGAATACAGTTATTAAAATCCCTTCATCATAACTGCAACAACATTAGTTTTGTAAAGGACATGATAGGTGAGCACACTTTTGTGATTTAATTTAAAAAACAACAAATAGTCTTGCAGCATCTTAGAGACTAACAAAAAATGTAGATGGTATCATGAGCTTCTGTGGGCATAGCCCACTTCTTCAAATGAATGGAGTTTAAGCAAACTTTTGTTTTTTAATTTTTTTCTGTTACAGACTAACACGGCTACCCCTTCAAACTCAGTTGCATACAATTAATTTCAGACACAAAATAGGCACCTAATTTCTGAAGACAAGTAAAGTTAAGAACAAATCAATCTGACAAATCAATGTCAAATCAATCTGATAGCTTTCTTTGATAGAATAACAAGTCTTTTGGATAAGGGAGAAGCGGTGGACGTGGTTTACCTAGACTTTAGTAAGGATTTGATATGGTCTTTCATGATAGTCTTATCAATAAACTAGGGAAATACAACTTAGATGGGACTACTATGAGGTGGGTTCATAACTGGGTGAATAATCATTCTCAGAGAGTAGTAATTAACGGTTCACAATCCTGCTGGAAAGGTATAAGAAGTAGGGTTTCGCAGGGATCTGTTTTGGGACCGGTTCTGTTCAATATCTTCATCAACAATTTTGATATTGGCATAGAGAGTATACTTATTAAGTTTGCAGATGATACCAAGCTGGGAGGGGTTGCAACTGCTTTCGAGGATAGGGTCATAATTCAAAATGATCTGGACAACTTGGAGAAATGGTCTGCAGTAAACAGGATGAAGTTTAATAAGGACAAATGCATAGTACTCCACTTAGAAAGGAACAATCAGTTTCACACATACAGAATGGGAAGCGACTGTCTAGAAAGGAGTACAGCAGAAAGGGATCTAGGGTTTATAGTGGAACACAAGCTAAATATGAGCCAACAGTGTGATACTGTTGCAAAAAAGCAAACATGCTTCTAGGATACATTAACAGGTGTATTGTGAGTAAGACACGAGAAGTCATTCTTCCACTCTACTCTGTGCTGATTAGGCCTCAGTTGGAGTATTGTGTCCAGTTCTGGGCACCACATTTCAAGAAAGATGTGGAAAAATTGGAGAAGTTCCAGAGAAGAGCAACAAGAATGATTAAAGGTCTAGAGAACATGACCTATGAAGGAAGACTTAAAAGAATTGGGCTTGTTTAGTTTGGAAAAGAGAATATTGAGAGGGGACATGAAAGCGGTTTTCAGGTATCTAAAAGGGTGTCACAAGGAGGAGGGAGAAAAATTGTTCTCCTTGGCCTCTGAGGAGAGAACAAGAAACAATGAGCTCAAAATGCAGCAAGGAAGGTTTAGGTTGGACATTAGGAAAAACTTCCTAACTGTTAAGCACTGGAATAAGTTGCCTAGGGAGGTTGTAGAATCTCCATCTCTGGAGACATTTAAGAGCAGGTTAGATAAATGTCTGTCTGGGATGGTCTAGACAGTAGTGCGTCCTGCCATGAGGGACTCGATGACCTTTCAAGGACCCTTCCAGTCCTAGTATTCTAATTGTGCCATATTTTGAAAATTAGGCTTTTAAAAACTATTAATTTTTTAGTGTGGAATGAAAGGAAATCAGATTGATTGTAGTCACTTTCCCAAGTTCAGGCATAAGAACAGTATTTTTCTTACTATTTGCAGCCCTTGATTAGAGATGTAAAATCCCATTTCATCAGTTAACTGGTTAAATGTTATGTTTAATTTGTTAACTGCTTGAACGTGGAGGTGGCGGGGGGAGGGCACTTCAACCCAGGCGGATTACCAGTTAACCATAACTAGTAATCATTAACCGGTTAACCATTCACATTCCTTGATCAGTAAAACTGAGGGGAGTAGTCTTTTCTTCTAGGCTAAAGAACTTTGAAAAATATCTGTTTGCATGCACAATGTCTATACATGTAAGGGACTCTGCCATGATATCTTGAAAAATTGTATCTAGTCTTGTAGCCAATCTGCCTTCTTGAATTATATAATTTCTTCTGTGCACTTACATTTTATTACTTTGACAAATATAAATCAGCAGTTGTTACTATAATTTTCTATTTCCTGCTATTGCTGATGCATTTAATTTTTTATGACTCCATTAGCAATAATTTTACCACATCATGCAGACAACCCTCACCTCTTGGAGTCACCCACTAAGAACTGCAGATTTCTCTGTAGTATTTTGAATACACATTGTCATGGTTGATAAAGCATTTCTCCAAGACAGTAGTTGATTTTTAAGCATAACTGGATATTCACACACATTAAAAAATTACTTGCATATTTCTCCTTTAATGAGTAGAACTTGCACTAGTTCTTTCTTCATGGTTTGCGTTATATTTTCGATACTGGAGTGACTGTTTTGAGAGTAGGGGAAATAAAATTCAGTTGGCATGTATTTTTTTACTTAGCAAAAGTGATCAAGGAGTAAATCGAAGTGTTCTGAACAGAAAGACTTTTAAAATATGATCAGCACTTGCACACAAATCAAAAACAGGGGGGAAAGAAGTCCCATGTTTGTAAAGTGCCTAACAGCAGGGGGACAAGAGTTCCTATGTGCTACAGTAATATAAATGATAACTGAGATATTAATCACTTAGTATCTACTGGAAAAATTCTTTGTTGGTAAAAATTGCAAATATTTCCACAGATTCCCAAATGCCCCGCTTTCAGCAGAAAACATTCAGAGAAATAAATGCATTAAAAAAAGGAATTGGAAAGTTAGATAAGAAAATATACTCTTCTTTGGTGATAATGTATTATACTTTTGACTCTCCTATTCTTTGCCATTTGGTGCGTTACTTAAATGGTATCTGAAGAGTAAATGAATAAAGAGCAAGAGAATAAAAAAGAGTGGTGTCAGGAAGAAGGGGAGAGAGGTAGCATTGCACAGCAGAGCAAGCAATAGACATTCAGAAAGTAGAAAACAGCAAAGCAGGTGAATAAAGATACGGATATGTTGGTGAAGATCTGATGTATCTATCTCTTGTTAAGTGGTATTTATGTCAGTTAAGATATTTTCTAGAACTCCCAGGAAAAAATTATTTGTTCATGGTATTGTTTCTTGAGAAGTCAGTTTTTCCCATGATTAATGTTGAGGAGCTTCCATTTACTTAGAAGCTTATCTTAGTTTTCCACCCTTCTTATTTACGATTTACATGTATTTTGACAGATAGTCTGCAGAAGTACAAAGCCTATAGAAATGGCTGTGAAGGAAAAGATTTCCATGTTTTGCCATGTGGAACCTGAACAGGTTTGTACTTTCAGACTTCATTGGTCATCATCTCACATTCTTTCAAATTATACATGATTTTTCTAGTTTAATATATCTTAAATGTGTGAATGTATTTCTTTTTTTAATCACCAAGAGATACTTGTTTCAGTAATCCACTGATTTTTAAATTGCAAGCAATTACACGATGAAATATAAAATAGAATACAAAATATAAACTACTCAAAAGTACTGGAAATTGTTTACATGTTAATTTTGGTATGTCAAATAGTCTTTGATAGTTGGTCACACTTACTATGAAGGATCCAATTATAAATTGTTTATAAAGGGTTAAGAAATAATAACTTTTGAGTAAATGTTTAATTGTTTGTTATAAACTGATAGACCAATACTTCAGAAGGTTGTTTGAAACCATGAGTTATAATAACGTATAACAGCTTTTACTGGTGCATCTATAATGGGTGTGCAATATGCCAGAGGTGGTTCACCAGGATTAGCTCCTGGCACTTTATTTACCTTCATATCTGCAGGTATAGCTGCTTGCAGCTCCTGTTAGCCATGGATCACCATTCATGGCCAATGAGAATTGTCAGGAAGCGGGCGGTGACCTAGTCCACACTGCTTCCCCTAGCACCAATGGCCAGGAATGGTGATCCGTGGCCATACCTGCGGACTTGCAGGTAAATAAAGCACCAGTGGCCCACCAGGGACTAACCCTCACAAACTGTGTCCAGCCAGTGGGCCACTTACTGCCCACTCCGATCTATAAGCATGTACAGAATCCTGATTATGTCTGTAATGGGTATATAACACATCCATTATCAATCCTTTGTAAACTTTTTATAATGGTACCCTTAACAGTGACTAAATTTGTCAGTGGCTCTTCAACTCACCAGAATGAACATGGAAATATTCTCCAACATTTCTGGAATATTAAACCTTTTACATCTCATCAGGTGTAATAGATTCATGCTTGGCTTATGTCGACACCACAGTTCTTCTCTAAGCACATCTGTGTGGCTTCCACTGGAGGTGCTCCTGTACTGGATGCATACGAGACTGGAGTTAGTTTGAATAACAGTGTCCATTGGAGCCATGCATGTGCCCTGTGCTGCCTCATGCTCCTGAACAAGAGCATAAAGGCAAGGGTGGCCTCAACCTTCCTTCAGTTTGTTCTTACCACCCACGACCCAGACTTCTGCTCCAGAAGGGAAGGAATAGGCTGAGGCTCATTAAGTTAATGCCTTGATTCTTTGGTGGCTTTCAGGACCTCTATAGGCTGTCTGCTGATTCCTCTGATTCCAAGGGGAATATCCAAGTTTAGATGTGATAAGACTGTCATTAACCCAATGGCCTCTTACTGGATGAGACAGTTCTGGTGTTAGATCTATGATATATGGCCGACTCCTAATCTATCAACGTATATCATCTTAGAACCAAGATCAGAGATCGCATCCAGACTCACAGTCATTACACCTAACAGCTTGGTGGTTGGCTGGTGGAGCACTTCTTGCAGAGACTGCTCCTTAAGAAATGTTCATACTGAGCTGGAAACTTTCCACTAGGAAGATTTACATCCGGTAATGCAAACATTTTTTGTGTGTGTGGGAAGCCCACAACAATATAGACCCAACAGAGGACCTGGCACTGAAGATCTTCAACTATATTCAGGACAAGCATTTACACTCTCAGCTTTCACCTTGCAGTGATCTTGGTGTACTGTAATCAGGTACCATCATACTCTAATTTCTCTCATCTGATGCTATTAAATTCCTTCAAGGCTTCCTTGATACTTAAGCTTTGGTTAGACGCCAATGACTGTGTGAGACCTCAGCATTATCTGCCTAAAATCCCATGGAGCCTTCTTTTGCTTTTAAACCACCATTGGATTGCTCATTACACCACCTGTCACCAAGATGGTGTCTCTGATGACCATTCCTCAGCACAAGGGGTCAGCGAGCTCTAAATCCTCATAGATGGATTGCCTTTCACATCCCACCATAGTGATAAAGTGGTGTTAAGATTACACTCCAGGTTCATCCCTAAAGGAGTCTTAGAATTTCACCTGAACCAATCACTCTGTCTGTTTTCTTCTCAAAGCCATATTCAACTCTGGAATAAAAGAAGCTGTAGGATAGGATATATCCAGAGCTTTACTCAGTGTCCTTAACAGTATCGAATCTTTTGGGCTGAATCCAAACCATTGTGACTTTTTTTGGCCCATTAAAGGCCAAGCCACCTTATTACAGTGTGTACTGTTGGCATGCTTATTCTCCCCCTCTAGGTTCAAGGACCTCACTATGTAGTCAGGCTACTATCTAGTCTCAGGATAATTAGCATTAGGCATAGCATCCTGACTGGGCTAACAGCCTAAGCAGTCAGCTGCCTTTTAGCCCTTGGGCCCTCCATGCAGAGGCTGCACACACAGCTTAGTTTATGGTCTCTGTGCCCCTGTGGCAGGGATCAGAATCCCATAGACAACAAGTAGCCCCAGGTCTTTCAGCCATCTGGAGACAGATACAAAGTGAGATTTGCAATCTGAGCTTCAGTTGTAGGGCCTGAGCAACCCCAGGTGTCAGTCATGCCTGGTCTTTCAGTACAGAGACAGAACAAGCCAGCAATCAATTAGCTCTGGTCGCTCAATGGAGACAGGGCACAGCAGTAGTCAGTTAGCACTAGTCTCTGGGTTCAGCGGCAGAGCAAACACCATAGTCAAAGAGCTCTGGTCGTTGATTGCAGAGTCAGAGTAAACACCAGTGGTCAGGTGTTCTAGATCCATAGGCGCAGACTCTGTGGGGTGCTTTGGGGCTAGAGCAGCCTGGGGGAAAATTAGTGGGTTCAGAGTACCTGTCCACACCAATCTCCCCATCTGCTCCTATGCCTCTGATGCACCAGCAGCCCCAGGCTTACCGATTCCTTCCTCTCCCTGCCAGCCCTTCTTGAGCACTGCAAACAGCTAATTTGCAGCATTCAAGCTCTAGGTGGAAGGGGGAACAGACTGGAAGGGGCAGGGCAGGGCAGGGGTGGGAAGAAGCAGGGCAGAGGTTTGAGGGAAGAGGTAGCGTGGGAGAAGAGCCTATAGCAGAGTGGGGCGGGGGAGGGTTGAGTACCTCCCAGCAAGAAGAGAAGTCTTGCTCCAGTGGGTGACTGACCAAAGCTGGCCACTGGACCTGGCAAGGAGAGGCTGCCATCCCAGAAGTGGGGTGGTAGGTGAGATCTGGTTCCACCCTACTCCACCAGAATCTGACCCAAGGCCCTCTTGGTGGTAGAGTGGTCTGCCACTGGATCAGCAGGGATCCCCGTCACAACATGCTGACCATGCCTCAGGAAAAGCTGAAGCCAGACTATGGTTGGTTGGGTCTGATCCACTTCCTCCTCTTCTCTCTGGGTGGACCTGGATTAGTGGAGCATCATCTGCCTCTGCTGGGAAGGTGGCCCATGGCAGTCCTGGCAGGTACATGACAGCAGTAAGTTCCCTGGTGGGCAAGGCATCTCTGGACTCAGCAGCAGTGTCAGTGGCCAGGGGCTACTATTGCCCAGCATTTTAGATCTTTATCTGGGTGCACAAGAAAGCACAAGGTGCAGGCATAGCCCTGATGAACACAGCTAGTCACAAAGCTCGCTATCTTATGCATGAGCCACATGCATCCTACACTGACTACAGTATCTTAAAGAACCACAATTATTGTAGGGTAGTTAGCCATTCCTTATGAACCAGTTCTCCATACATGATATCAAGAGAGGGTGGAACTTCAGATTTGACTGTTTCCTGCAGGCTAAATGTGGTGAGCTTAATTACAGGCAGTCCCCGGGTTACGTACAAGATAGGGACTGTAGGTTTGTTCTTAAGTTGAATTTGTATGTAAGTCGGAACTGGTACATATTGTAGGGGAAACTCTAGCCAAACATTTCTCCAGAGCTCAGTTTTATTCTCCCACACCTCACTTCCCTCAGTCCTTTATTCTCAAGCGGAGGTGTCTGCTGAGAAAAGCCACTCCGCGTCTCCCTGGTCTGCTGGGGGGGGGGGCTAGCTTCGAGTCTCCCTGGTCTGCTGGGGGGAAGCAGCTAGTGCGGGGTTGCCTCACCCCGTTTGTAAGTAGGGATCCGATGTAAGTCGGATCCATGTAACCCGGGGACTGCCTGTATTGACAATCTGGTCACACTTGATGATAAAGGTACATTTATAAATATATTTTTGAATTGGAATGTCTACCATTTGGTTGCAGGCTATATAGATTAGATAAGAAAACCATCCATTATTGGAAACACCATGAACTGTTTAGGCCCCCAGTAGAGAATTTTTCTTTGCAAATAGAAAGCAGGTTTCATTCATATTCTTTCTTCAGACAATAAATATACTCCGGTGTTGTTTTTTTAAAGGGAAAATCAGCTTGATCTCCATGAAATTTTGTGGGGTCTCACTATAAACAGATCTTTGAATTAATATTTTAAAACACAGTAGGAAGGTTTACATCTGGAATGCACAATGTGCATCCAGATTCTTCAGACATGTGAGCAGCAATATTTTCCTCAGTAACACTACTCACATGTGTTTGTAGGACTGAGGCCTGTACCACAGTGAACCATTTTCTTCAATACCTAACACAGCAGAATCCTTGTCCATGACTAGGCCTCCTAGGTGTTATAATAATACCAATAATAAATGATAATAATAACTTATCCATTACTCTGGTAGGCTAAAGAAGGAAAATAGAGAGGGAATCCTCTTCTTTATAATTTAAGTAGCTTTTCTTTACAGATAAGTGATTGAGAGGTGCATTAAACATTGATTATGTTGCTTTATCTAATTTTAGAGTATATATTGAATTACATTTATTCTCTAGGTATGAATATCCTTAAATTTTACATTTCATAAGCAAGTTTTTAGAAGCTCATTTTTGTTCCTAATCACGATTTATTTATTAGGTGATATTTATCCATGATGTTTCTTCCACCTACCGAGTGCCAATCCTATTGGAAGAACAAGGCATTATTAAATATTTTAAACAGCGATTAAACCTACCTATTGATGACCAACCAAGTGATCTTCTTTTCAAATGGAAGAAAATGGCCGACAGGTACTGTAACGCCTATTAGGTTTTCTTAAAGTTTTAAAATCATTATAAGACTCCGGTCATCAATTACAATAACGTGATATAGTACCACTGTAATCAGTGTAGCAATGCTGACTTATGCCAGCTCAGGCTATGGCCTTCTGTGTTTAAAAAATATGTACGCTTTTTAAAAAACGGGATATTTAGTTATTTTATTTTTAGAAAAGACACATTTCATAGGAAACATATTATGAGCATAATAATTAGAAACCTTGCTTTTATTAGATATGAAAGGTTGCTGAAGATGTGCTCCATAGCCCTGGTTGGCAAGTATACGAAACTAAGTGACTGCTACGCATCTGTTTTCAAGGCCTTGGAACATTCAGCTTTGGCAATTAATCACAAACTGAATTTAACGGTGAGGATCAATCTCTTTCAGTTTCAGGAATGCTTCAAGATGTAAAGGTTAGCTTCAATCACCCAGGCAAATTTAATATTAATGTGTATCTTAATTAGGACTAACACACACGTGTGTACATAAAATGACTGAATACTTTTTTAAGAAGTTTGAGAAATTTCATTTTTATTTTATTTTAGACCAAATGTGTCTGAAAGGGACTCTGCAGTAATAGCCTCTAATTGGATTTGCTTTACAAAGAAAGGACATAAGTGCTCACTAACAAAGGAAATGCTTGTTGATTTTAATAAGTCTACTTGCAGCACCAAACATTAGCCTTTGTAGTAAACGTTTTCAGTATGATGTTCAAAAGCGGAAATATATGACACACAAAAAATTCAAAATGATCTTGGCAAATTGGAGAATTGCTCTGAAACGAACAAGATGAAATACAATAAAGACAAATGCAGAGTACAGGTTGGACATCCCTCATCCAACACCCTCGGGACCTGACCAGTCTCAAATAAGGGGATTTGCTGGACCAAGGGAGGTCCCTCCCATCATGGCCTGTGCTGCCCTGCTGCCCCTGGCTAGGGCTCCAGCCTGGCCCTGTTGCTGCCTGCCTGGCTGTGGCTCCCCAGGCTGGACCTAGAGCTCCCTTGCTGTTCCCACGGTCAGAGTTCCATGGTTGCCACTGTTAGGCCCAGAGCTCCACAGCCAGGGCTGGAGCTCTGTGGCTGCTACTGCCAACCCTCTGCTACCGCCTGGCTACAGGGGCCAGAACTCCTTGCTAAGACGCCAGCTCCCTCACCGCTCCAGCCCCGCAGCCCAACCTCCCTATACCTGGGCTCTGTGGTCCAGGAACATCCGAGATCCTGTTGGATCGTAGATGTTGCTGGACCAGAGAGTCCTGGTTAAGGGAGGTAGAACCTTTACAATGTTTTGGAAAGGAAAAATCAAATGCACAAATAAAAAATGGGGATAACTGCTTAGGTAGTAGTACTGCTGAAAAGCCTCTGGGGGGTTATAGTGGATCACAAACTGAATAAGCCAACAAGAAGTCTAGCTGCAAAAAAAGCCTAATATCAACAGGAATTTTATATGTAAGAAATGGGAGGTAATTGTCCTGTTCAATTGGTGGGGCCTCAGCTGGAGTAGTATGTCCATTTCTGGGCATCACACTTTAAGGAAGATGTAGACAAATGAGAAAGAGTCCAGAGGAGAGCAACAAAAATGATAAAAGGTTTTGAAAAACCCTACCTATTAAAAAAAGGCTAAAAACTTCAGTACATATAATCTTGAGAAAAGAAGACTGAGGTAGAATCTAATAACAGTCTTCAAATATATTAAGAGTTGTTAAAAAAAGGAGCAGGATTGATTGTTCTTGTTAAGGTGTTTGCTTATCTCCATTCCATGTTAAGTGTGTGCACACTTGGTGCACTGTTGCTAGAGATTTTTCCTTCAGTGATATGCATTAGGCTGGCTCTAGCACCCCCGGGAGCCATACACTTCTGTACCAGTACAAGGGGTGCTGCTGGCCCCACACTCTCCTAGTTCCTTCTTACCACCTGTGTTTGTTGCTGGAAAAACTCCTCTTGCTTAGGAAAGGTGTTCTCTCTGGTCCTTACTCTGTTGTATAGTTTGTTAGTCTTAAGTGTAGGTATAGTGTTTATATTATAAATATTGTTAGATAGATAGTTAAACCTCTCCTTGTTGTCAAGGGCTACAAGGGCTACAGGGGCTCTCTTCACCCACGGGGTGGATATCACTGAGGGAAAAATCTCTGACAACAGTGCACGTGGCATGTGCACACCTAATGTAGGATGGACATGAGCAATGAATCTTGAAGAACAACAATTATTTAGTAACATTTTTTCTTTATGTTCACTGAAGATAGGACAAGAAGCAATCTGCAGCAGGCAGATTTAGATTGGAAGTAGCAATGTTTGGCTTTCTGATTATAGGGACAGTTAAGCATTGGAATGGGCTTCCATGGGAGACTGTGGAATCCCCATCACTGGAGGTTTTTAAGAACAGACTAGAAAAACACAAGTGAGGGGTGATTTACATATACATGGCCCTGCCTGGACATGGGGGGCTGGAGTAGATGATTTCTTAAGGTTCCTCCCAGCCCAACATTTCTATGACTCTATGATAAGTAGTACTTGTATTTTTGTTTAATATTTAAAGCAAGATTATGATATGCTACTCACACTGAGTAATACTTTACTCCATGAGTAGCCCCATTTATATCAGTAGGGTTATACATGGAACCAGACCCTATTCAGTATGACTTTATCATAATTTGGCCCCCTTTTTACATACTTTAAAAGAAGTGGTTAATTTAAGGAACATTTCAGAAACTTGTTCTGACTTTTTAAACTGTGAAGTTGAACTAATCTTAAAAGTGTGGTGCCAACTGTTTTTATGGTGAAATGTTCTGCTTCTGTTGCCTGGTTTCACCTTTGGAGGTAGCAATGTTTGACTTGGAAAGGTGGTGTATAGGAGTCTGTTAATATTACTTTTGAGTACAGATGAAATTTGAACAGCCTTTGTTTTAGCAAAACACTAAGAATCTAAGTTTGTAGAGAAAATACAGTGTTGGAAATGCACACTCCACCTTAGTACATGACCTGTAAGTAACTTCAGATAAATTAGAACAGGCAGGCGCAGGATTGCACATGGCTCTTGTGTGGGTGGGAGGGTGCAAAGAGCATTGCTTTCCTTCTTGAATCACAGGAGTAAGGGCAGGTAGAATCACTGTCCTCGTGTTCTCTCTAGTGCTGTCAGGAGTATAAGCTCTTCCAGATGAAAGGGAGAGAGGATGAAGCACAGGCATGTCTCCATCTCTTCTCACTGGCTCTTGGAGCAAGCCAAAGAGTCTTAAAGTGAAGCGCATGCATAAGTACTGTCCTGAACAGAGCCATAGTCTAGCCTGGTGAAAGCAACAGTTTTGAGTTTGCTCAGCAACTACTGTAAATTAACTTGCTCCACAGTGAAATGATAACACTAAAATGTTTAACTTAAATGTATTGAACACTTGCTCATTTTTAAATCCATCGTTTATAGCTTGGTAAATATAAAATGTACAATCAGAGGCCTCCTTTTTACAATTGCTAGTCACTTACACCAGTTGTCACAAGTTAGTGGACAGGTGGGATGAAATTCTAGCTTCAGTGAAATCATTGGAAAAACTGCCATTGGCTTCAGTGGGGCTGGATTTCACCCAGTGTATCTCTAGCCATGTAGACTTAAGGCCTTTTGCAGGTGTTACAAAAGTGCTAGAGCCAGCAGGTTTCCCAGATCCATTGGTGATGCTGACACTGGACACTGTTTGTCATGGTTAGCAATCTCTGCAGAGAACAGGAATAGGAGTTTTATGAGTAAGAGTCAGGAGTTCCTCCTTAGAACTGGACCTAACTATTTGACAGATTATCTCTCCCTGCGCAACAGTGACCTACATTCCACGGGGACCTTGAAACTGTCAGCCAGTAGGTGGAGACTTGTGAACGCACTAGACAGAAATGTTATAGAAGCTGGACCTTATGTTACAGGAGAGAATGACCAAAGCTCTAGTCACATTCAGAACCAACTGCAAATTTCATGGCTTTGATTTGGCTTTCAGTTTGAACACATGGAGAGAGATAATCAAACTGTTTCTCCTAATTATCCTCAGTAGCACTGGCACTACAATTTACAGGTATTTTTTTTCTTTCCTCTCCCTCCTTTTTTGTGATGTATTACGAGGGTTCCCTTTTCTTTTCCTCCACTCAAGCTCATCTGAGGATTGGAAAGGAAGAGAGACACTGTCTTTGTAGTTAGTTTGCCTGTTGGAGTCAGCAACAACAAGGACTGGGTTCAGTATTTAGAGGTTCCTCTTAACAGTACAATACAGAAGTGTCCTGAACTTCCACCCAGTAATCTGGGAGAAAAAGACGCCCACTCATTGCCACTCCGAAGAGGCAATACTTGCCCCCTCACAAGCACTTAGGCTATGGCTACATTAGAGATTTACCTGCACTGCTGTAAGCTCTCTAATGCAGTGTTTCCCAAACTATGGGCTGCGGCCCGGTACCGGTTCATGGGGAAAAAAATACCAGGCCTCAGCATGGCTGTCGGGGTGTTCTGGGCTCTGGAGTGTCCCCATGGCGCCAGGTCCCCCAAGCCCTGGGCCGGGCTGGGCTGAGGATACAGCCAGATGTTCTGGGCGCCTGGCAGAGGCATAGTGAGGAGAGGAAGCAGGGGTGGGGCAGTAGCCCCCGGGCGCCATGCTAGGGGCCGCCAGGCTGGGTTGGGGGGGAGGTGCGGGGCACTGGGCTCATCTGGGCTGCAGGAGAAGGGAGGTGCCGGGAACCCGGTGCTGGACTCAAGGGGAGGGAGGGGGAGGGAGAGGGGGGCACTGGTCTGGTCTGTGGGGAAGTGCGGGGCGCTGGGCTCACCTGGGCTGCAGGAGGAGGGAGGTGCCAGGAACCCGGCGCTGGACTCAAGGGGAAGGAGGGGCAGGGAATCAGCACTGGCCTCAGCATGTCTGCGCGGTTTGGGGGGAAGTGCAGGGAAACCGAGCTCAGCTGGTCTGCAAGAGTGAAGAGGTGTGGGATGCTGGGCTGAGCTGTGGGGGGAGGGAGGTGCGGAGCTCAGAGCTCAGTTTGGCTGCAGGAGGTGGGAGGTCCTGGGAACAGGGCTAGACTCAAGGGGAGGGAGGGGAAGGAAATCAGAGCTGGGCTCAGCAGTTCTGCGGGGTTTGGGGGGAGGTGCAAGGAAATGGGGCTCAGCTGTGCTGTGGGGGAGGCATGCAGGGAACCAGTGCAGGGCTCAATTGAGCTGAGGTGGATGGGGGAAGGCACAGGGAACAGAAGGGCAGCAGCTCAGCTGGGCTGTGAGGGGCTGTAGAGAACTGGTGCTGCACTCCCTTGGATTGTGGGGGATGGTTTTGGGGGAGGTGCAGGGAACCAGCAGGGGTGGGCAGCTCAGTTGGGTTGCAGGGGAGGGAGGTGCAAAGAACCCTAGTGGGGAGGGGGGAC